CCGCGGTGCTGCGAGCAATCGAGGAATTCGCGTGCGGACGGAAGTGGCTCAAGGCCCCCTTCAAGTGAGATCGAAGGTTTCCGGGTATCCGGTTACAGTAAGGCTTCAGGGCTTGTAAACCCTAGGTCCCAAACCCTAGCCCGAAACCATAAACCTTCTACCCCAAACCATGAACCGCAGCTCTCAACCCAAATCTCCCCAAGCCGCACAGCCCCAAAGCCGAGAACTTGAAAGCCCTAAACGGCGCCCTAATGCGCAACACCTACCCGCAACGGTGAAGGTCCTTATTTGCACATTAGACCCAAGGTTTGGGGTCTAAAGTGCAATCTCAGTAGACCCTTATTGCCCTGAGGGGCTCCCTAAACCCTAAACCCTAAACCCTAAACCCTAAACCCTAAACCCTAAACCCTAAACCCGACACCCGAAACCCGAAACCCGAAACCCGAAACCCGAAGCCCGAAGCCCGAAACCCGAAACCCGAAACCCGAAACCCGAAACCCGAAACCCGAAACCCTAAACCCGAAACCCGAAACCCTAAACCCTAAACCCTAAACCCTAAACCCTAAACCCTAAACCCTAAACCCTAAACCCTAAACCCTAAACCCTAAACCCTAAACCCTAAACCCTAAACCCTAAACCCTAAACAGCCCGAAACCCTACTCCCGAAACGCGCTTCTTGCTGCTCCTGTGATGCTTTCGGTGTGCAGGTGGCGGGCGGCCGCAAGGCGGCCCTGCTCCAGGCCGGTTATTAAAGGCTGCTGTCCCGGTTAACTTGAGGGCTTTTGGGTTTAGAGTTTTGGGTTTAATGTTTGGGGTTTAGGGTTGTGGGGTTTTGTGAATGCATCTTCACACCGATCTTCATACGTACAGAACATATGGCTCCCGTTTTCCGGGTCCCTGTCAAATATCTTTCAGCTCAAGTCCTTGAGGCTTTGCTCTTAATCAGCCCAAGCTTCGGCTTTCTTCAGTGGCAACATAACGCGGTTGAGGGTCTAGGTTAGGGATTGGAGTTTAAGGTGTAGGGCTTGGGGTTTAGGGTTTGGGGTTTCAGGGTTTAGGGTTTAGAATGTTCTTTTTCGTGTTTGAGTTGCTGTGTTGTGCGTCTCTCCAGGGCAGCCTGCGGCCGGGCGATCGTGTGGTCGAATTCGGAACGCCCGCAGCTCAGGATACCCCAAGCTCGCAAGCTCGACCACACCGTGGAAATCATGCTTGCTCAGCTAGCTTCGTACGCCTCAGACTGCGCTGTGGAGTGCAGCTTGGAGCGCCATCAGAAGATCATCGCCCACAGCCCACCCAAGAACATGCTGAGTGCCAAGAAAGCTGGAGCTACTCAAAAGCCCAAATCTCTGTTCCCTGAACCCGAAGCCTCAAAGCCGTAAAGGTACATGGGATACTCCGCCATGTTGCTGGCCTCGAGACTGCGCGAGCTAGGCGTGCTCGCCCATGCAACCCTGAACTCGCGCGCCCCCGAAGGAAAGACCTTGACCTTGAAGCATCACAAGGAAACCCCAAGAGAGAAAAGCCTCATGGAACAAGCAGCACAGCCATGCTGCCCTGCGAAAGGGGGCGGTGGCCGGGTGGTGTCCTGCGACGTCAATGCCCAGACCTGGCCCTTCGCGCGGGAGATCTTGTCCTGGGCGGGGGTGGAAGGCGGACGCCAGGGCTCTCTTTGGGGGGGGGGGGGCTTCAGTGGGTTCGGGGGGGGGGGGGGGGGGGGGGGGGGGGGGGTTCTCTGGTTGAGGTGAGCGGTCCCTTTGGTTCTTTAATCAGCTGCTTTAGGGGTGGTTTATTCTTATTCTTCGTCTTATTATAAAATATCTGTATATATATATATGCATATACATATATTGTTTTCTCTCTGCAAACAGGTTAACGACACGCCCAACAACCGGCAGTCAGAAGCTACTGTGCTGCGCCAGAAGTGACAAGTTGTACATATACACAAATGCGTATGTGTTTTTTCCGGGGCTTAAGATGGGTGTTCAGAGAGAGCTGACAGAGCCAGCTGTGGCCCATTTTTCTCCCGTGGCCCCCCTCCCCCCCCCCAGCCCGTCAACAGAACAAGAGAGAGAATGAGAGAGAGAGAGAGAGAGAGCGAGAGAGAGAGAGAGAGGGAGAGAGATAAGGAGCCGCACTGGAAGGAAGTTCTGTGACTCTATTTCCGTGGAGAGTGGTTTTTGACATTTCCTCCTGACGGCACTTTCGCCCCAAACACATGCCCTCTCGCTCAACGTGGGGGGGCATCGAGGGCAGCACTTGGGACGGGCGCGGGGCTAAGCGAGAGAGAGAGAGAGAGAGGTCCCTGCCCCATGCCCTGTAAAAGAAGGGAGGAAGGGAGGCTCTGCCCACGGCAGAAAGAAAGAGAGAGAAGAGACGAGCTCCAAACTCTTATGCGCCCTTAGGCCTTACGCCCCTTGTCTTCTAAGATCGTTGTCTTTTTCTTGCTGCGTGGGTTGTCGCAGGCTCCGAGGTCCAGCTGAACATTGGCGTCGCGAGCGACTGGCTTGCCAGTGGTCAGTTGGGGTCCAAGTGGGGAGGGTTTAGGGTTTAGGGTTTAGGGTTTAGGGTTTAGGGTTGAGGGTTGAGGGTTTAGGGCTTAGGGTTTAGGGTTCCATTTCATGAGCTCCCAAGAACAGCGCCACAAGGTTGAGGGATCAGGGCCTTCACTAGGAGCATGTGCGCAGGACCGACCCCTCAAGTACCCTCCGCCTGGACATGCCCGGACCGTGCAGTCGGCTCAGGGTTTGGGGTTTAGGGTTTAGGGTTTAAGGTTTCAGGTTTAAGGTTCAAGGTTGAAGATTTAAGGTTTAAGGCTTAAGGTTTAAGGTTTAAGGTTTAAGTTTAAGGTTCAAGGTTTAAGGTTTAAGGTTTAAGATCTGAGGTCTAAGGTCTCAGGTCTAGTGTTTAGGGTTTTAGGGTTTAGGGTGTTAACCGGTAGTTCAGGCCCATCAAGGAAGAGAGTAGTGTCCTTTCCGGCCTCATTCCGATGGGTTTAGGGTTTGGGGTTGACGGCGTAGGGTTGAGCCCCATCATTATTCCCTACGTCGCTATTGCTGAGGGGGGATCTGACCCTAAAACCCTAAACCCTAAACCCTAAACCCTCAACCCTCAACCCTCAACCCTCAACCCTCAACCCTCAACCCTCAACCCTCAACCCTCAACCCTCAACCCTCAACCCTAAACCCTAAACGCTAAACGCTAAACGCTAAACCCTAAACCCTAGACCCTAGACCCTAAACCCTAAACCCTAAACCCTCAACCCTTAACCCTTAAACCCAAACCCTAAAACCCCTAAGCCCATAGCAACAAAAGAGCGCAAGGCTGGGAAGCATCGACGTGCTGCTCCTGGACCACCGAGGAACTGTCTACCAGGCTCCGAACTGGGCCATCGCCCTAAACCCTAAACCCTAAACCCTAAACCCTAAACCCTAAACCCTAAACCCTAAACCCTAAACCCTAAACCCTAAACCCTAAACCCTAAACCCTAAAACCCTAAACCCTAAACTCAGGGCCTAGGCCGCCCCCCTACAGAGGGGGGGCGGCGCTTAAGCCCTTCGACCTCTATGGCGAAGGTCGACCCAGGTCGCTTGCCCGCCTCCTGCAGCCAGGAGGTCGGTAGCACCCACGATGGGCCCGGTACTGGAGCAGGTTCTCCCGGGGACCAGTACTGGTCCCCTTAATAAGGTAAACACCCTAAACGCAGGGGCTCTGGGCCCCCTGACCCCCCTGAAAACCCCCTGGCCACCCCTGGCCCCCCCTGACCCCCTTGGGCCCCCCATTGGGCCCCCGGCGCCCGGGCTTTTGGGCCCCTGCCCGGCCCCCTCCCTCTGTCCTGCCCTGAGCCCCCTGAACGTTGGTGGGGCTCTGGCTTTGGGCCATTCTGGGCCCCGTTGGTTTCTGCATGCAGACCCTGGAATTGGGCCCCTGCCTAGCCTCTCTGAGCCCCCTGACGCTGTGCTTTTTCCTCTGCGCCTCCTTAACTGGGCCGCTCTGGGCCCCTCTGCCGGGCCCCTGGTGCCCAGACTGACCCTGGCCTGGGCCCGTGGTCCTTCTCCCTCTGTGGAGGCTTGTTTTTTGTGAAAAGCCGTGACGGAATGAAGAAGTTTTATGTAAAGAAAGCAGTTGGCTTGAGTTTAGGCCTAAACCCTAAAAGGAATAGGTTTGGGTGGATTTGCCGCCTTGGACGGCGTGGGGTGGGAGAAAAGTGTTAGATGGCCTTCCACAATCGGGCCAAAGCTGCTCTTCGCACCTCACGACGCTTTCGAGCTTATTCCAAAACCTAACCTTCACAGCATCTACGCCCTATCACAGCAAGCCCTAAACCCTAAACCCTAAACCCTAAACCCTAAACCCTAAACCCTAAACCCTAAACCCTAAACCCTAAACCCTAAACCCTAAACCCTAAACCCTAAACCCTAAACCCTAAACCCTAAACCCTAAACCCTAAACCCTAAACGCCAAACCCTAAACCCTAAACCCTAAACCCTAAACCCTAAACCCTAAACCCTAAACCCTAAACCCTAAACCCTAAACCCTAAACCCTAAACCCTAAACCCTAAACCCTAAACCCTCTCTTTCATATAATAATTTAAACTTTAATGGGGAACGTGGCCATTGGCAAAAAAACCGTGGCCATTGGCAAAAAACCGTGGCCATTGGCAAAAAAGCCGTGGCCATTGGCAAAAAAGCCGTGGCCATTGGCAAATTCGCCAATGGCCACGGGAAAGTTGCCAATGGCCACGGCTTTTTTGCCAATGGCCACCAATGTCATTAAGGTTGGTCGCCAAAATGGGTTTTTCAAACCCAATTCGCACAAAATGCCCCCCAACCTTAATGGGAAACGTGGCCATTGGCAAAAAAGCCGTGGCCATTGGCAACTTTTCGGGCTTTTTGCCAATGGCCACGGCTTTTTTGCCAATGGCCACGTTCCCCATTAAGGTTGGGCCCCAACCTTAATGGGGGCCGGGGCCATTGGCAAAAAAGCCGTGGCCATTGGCAAAAAATCCGTGGCCATTGGCAAGTGGCATTTGCCAATGGCCACGTTTTTTGCCAATGGCCCCCTGTTTTTTGGCCAATGGCCACGGCTTTTTTTTGCCATGGCCACGGCTTTGTTTGCCTTTTTTTTTCCCTCAGCCCCCCCCCACGGCCACCCCCCCCCCCCCCCCCCCCCCCCCCCCCCCCCCCCCCCACCCCCCCCCACCCCCCCCCCCCCCCCCCCACCCCCCACCCCCAACCCCCCCCGCCACCCCCCCCCCCACCCCCCCACCAACCCCCCCCCCCCCCCGCCCCCCCACCCCCCCCCCCCGCGCCCCCCCACCCCTCCCCCCCACCCCCCCCCACACCACACCCCCCCACCCCCCCCCCACCCCCCCCCCCCCCCCCCCACCGCCCCGCCCTCCCCACCCCCCACCCCCCCCCCACCCCCCCGCCACCCCTGCCCCCCCTACCACCCCCCCCTACCCCCCCCACCCCCATGCCCCCTTCCCTCTTCTGGCCCAGACCCCCATTCTGGGCTTGAAAACCTGGGTCTGAGCCAGATCCAGATGAAGGCTTTGCGGGGCCGGGAATGCGGCGGCCCCTTCTTAGTGTTTCTCATCTTGGGTGGTCCGAGGGTGGGGTGGGGAAAAGCAACTTCCGGACCCCCATTCTGGGGTTGGAAACCTGGATGAGGGCTTCGCAAGCAAGAGAGAGAACGAATACGGGTAGTTGGTTCTAGGGTGGGTTGGGGATTGGCTCGAACTGGAATGGTTAGAGGGTGGGGTGGGGGGAAAACAAAACATTTTTTGTCAATCCGGACCAACACTTTTGGCTACCTTCGGTCTGGGGAAAGCAAGCGCGAAGACAAGAGGCATGCGACAAAACCGACGAGCACGAAGGGAGGGGACATACGACAAACCCTAAGAGCGCGAAGGGAAGGGACATGCGACGAATCTGTAGACCTTTCATCAAACCATACGAGCACGAAGGGAGTGGACATACGACAAGCCCTACGAACACGAAGGGAGGCATACGACAAACCCTAAGAGCACGAAGGGAGAGGGCGTACGACAAACCTGTAGACCTCTCGTCAAACCCTACGAGCACGAAGGGAGGGGACATACGACAAACCTCGAAATAAACCCGTACATTTCTCAATGTTTTAGGATTCTCTGCAAGCAGAAGGAAAGGGACATACGACAAAGCCGACGAGCACGAAGGGAGGGGACATACGACAAACCCTAAGAACACCAAGGGAGGGGACGTACGACAAACCTGTAGACCTCTCATCGAACCCTACGAGCACGAAGGGAGGGGACATACGACAAACCCTACGAGCACGAAGGGAGGGGACATACGGCAAACCTCTGAAAATACAATCTCAGTTTCTTAATTCTTGGGATTCTTTGCAAGAAGACGAAGAGGGACACACGACAAAGCCGACGAGCACGAAGAGAGGCGACATACGACAAAATCTAAGAGCACGAAGGGAGGGGACGTGCGACAAACCTGTAGACCTCTCATCAAACCCTACGAGCATGAAGGGAATGAAGGGACGGACATACGACAAACCCTACGAGCACGAAGAGAGGGGACATACGACAAACCTCTAGGCCTCTCATCAAACCCTACGAGCAGGAGCCAACATGAGGCGAGGTCACCGGGGCACTAATTGTAAAGCAACCATGTGGAAGCCAGGCAGCTTAAAGTGTGCCAAACACAACCAACAAGACGGCCAAAAATAGGCAGGGTCACCGGGGAAAACGAACACGAGCAAAGTGAATATGAGCAGAAAGAGAACGAATACGAGCAGACTGACGTCGAGCAGAGAGAGAACGAATACGAGCAGAATGAATACGAGCAGAAATAGAATGAGTACGAGCAGACTCAGTACGAGCAGAAAGACAGCGAAAACGAGCGGACTGAAATCGAGCAAAGAGAGAGAACGAACACGCGCAGAAAGAGCACGAACACGAGCAGAAAGAGAACGAACACGAGCAAAATGAATATGAGCAGAAAGAGAACGAATACGAGCAGATTGACATCGAGCAGAGAGAGAACGAATACGAGCAGAATGAATACGAGCAGAAGAGAACGAGTACGAGCAGACTCAGTACGAGCAGAAAGACAGCGAAAACGAGCGGACTGAAATGGAGCAGAGAGAGAACGAATACGTGCAGAAAAAGCACAAATACGAGCAGAAAGAGAACGAACAC